AGAAGAAGAAGAAGAAGAAGAAGAAGAAGAAGAAGAAGAAGAAGAAGAAGAAGAAGAAGAAGAAGAAGAAGAAGAAGAAGAAGAAGAGGAGAAACATGTTGTGAGCTGTTTTTCTATTTGCCGGGAGAGAAATCTCCACAGTCTTCCAACATTCTGAGGTTTGCACGACAGCAATTTTGCTCCTGGGTTTTTTATCTAATTAAGCCAGGCTGCCAGGAAGGCGAAAACAAGAGGATGAGGGAGGCCCCTCCACTGATTCTTACCAAACAGGGAAATGGCTTTAACCCACACGCCCAGGAGGCAAGCATAACGGTCTAATAATTGTTTTTCCGAGTCTGCTGAAAAAAACAAGCACATCAGGGATGGATGATTAGGCAGGAAACCCTACACCATTTCAGACAAATGGTTGTCCAGTCTCTTCTTAAAAACTTCCAGTGTTGGAGCATTTACAACTTCTGGAGACAAGTTGTTCCACTCATTTTTTTAAAAATGCAAACAAAACTTAGCATTCGTTAATGCCGATCATTGTAGGTCAATCGACCAATCGGGGTTAACAAGCCATTGATTAGTTCAATATGTGAACCTGGGCAATTTTTATTTTCGCTGGTTGGCAAATTTTCAAGGCAAGGAATGGCTGTCTGTCATCTGCTCTCCAAGCTCCAAATTTTTAATTGATGAATGACATGCCCTCAAGGATCTTGACCGACTTGAACATTGGGCTCTATCTAACAAAATGAAATTCAGTGGTGAAAAAAGTAAGGTTCTACATTTAGGCAAGAAAAATTGAATGCACAGCTACTACTTTGCTCAATAGTAGTAACTGTGAGAGGGATCTCGGAGTCCTAGTGGACAACCATTTAAATATGAGTCAGCCGTGTGCAGCAGCTGCCAAAAAAGCCAACACAGTTCTAGGCTGCATAAACAGAGGAGTAGAATCAAGATCGCTTGAAGCGTTAATGCCACTTTGTAAGGCCTTGGTAAGGCCACACTTGGAATCCTGCCTCCAAGTTTGGTCACCACGATGTAGAAAATATGTTGAGACTCTAGAAAGAGTGCAGAGAAGAGCAACAAAGAGGATTAGGGGGCTGGAGTCTAAAACATATGAAGAACAGTTGCAGGAACTGAGTATATCTAGTCTAATGAAAAGAAGGACTAGGGGAGACATGATAGCAGTCTTCTAGTATCTCAGGGGCTGCCCCAAAGAAGAGGGAGTCCAGCTATTCTGCAAAGCACCAGAAGGCAAGAACAAGAAGCAACGGATGGAAACTAATCAAGGAGAGAAGCAACTTAGAACTATGGAGAAACTTCCTGACAGTTAGAGCGATTAATCAGTGGAACAACTTGCCTTCAGAGGTTGTGAATGCTGCAACACTGGAAAATTTTAAAAAAGATGTTGGAAAACCATTTGTCTGAAGTGGTGTGGGGCTTTCT